CTCGGCGCCGCGCACTGCAGCGGCAAGGGATGGCACGGGCCCCGCAGCAGCGCGCGGCAGGAACCACCTTTTAGTGCACGGTACTCTGTCGAGTGCGGCCATTATTCAAATTGGATGGAAGCGGAAGAGATGGTTTTACGACCGCGGACATTCGAAAACCGCGCGACACCACCGGAAACCCCCAATAAATGTGAAAATGTCGCACACCCGTATGAACGCCATTCGGCCACATGGATGGAGGCACACGTGTTGTGAATTTCAAAGGAAAAATCACACATTTACTCCATTAAGTGCATACGATTACGAACGGGCATTCACAAACACACACCTACAAGTGTACGACATTCACATACTTGCGTTTCCAGTGTGTCCCACACACACACACACACACTTACAAGTGTACGACATTCACATACTTGCGTTTCCAGTGTGTCCTCCCAGCACATATACAAAGGAAAACAGAGTTCTGGATTAGGGATCATCTAATGGGTACGACAGAAATTCACCGTCAAGACTCTAAATTGCGGAGAAGTTCAGCCGATGCATGCTCTCAGAGCGCCTAATAGGTAGGCAACATCTGGCCTGGAGTGCATACGTGTACGGCGGGGTGGCCTACCCTGAATCTCGCAGGCGCCCAGCTCCTGTAATTTGTCGAATGAATGTCAGAAAAGAACGGACGCACTGTACTTTCGGAATGACGATGACCCCTTACGATAAGGACCTTACGACTTTTAGGGTGCGATCGGATCAAAACTGTGAGCGTTCACCAGTTGGCCATTGATCGGATCGGCGCCACAACATGTGTCCGCAATATTTAACGATTTTTTTTTACCTGTGCTCGAAGTAGAATACTTTGGGCTGCAATTTAAGCACATTCGACTTTCCAGCGTGGCACCCAAACCAACGAACCGCGCATGATAATTTTTATCGAAAGAAAGGCGTCTAATTGGTCCCGTCCCAAACGTATGCGCCGTGTCTGGACGGCGGCGGGGCGCAGGGGGCCACGCCGACGGCCGCCAACAACGGGCCTCGTGTAGGCCGAAGTAAAGGAAAAAGGAGGGGAGGAGATTAGGAGAAAAAGAAGAATGAATGAACCGCGAATGAATGGAGAGGATGGCGATGGCGGGCGGGCTTTACCGATCAGGGTCAAGGAGCTCCGGTCAGGCGCGGCCGCCAGGGGCCCGAGACTTTGCGGTGCGGCTTCGGGTGCTGACTGCGCGGCTGCCTACACGGCGAAAACGATGATTACTCGGTTGACCAGGATGGCTGGTGGAGCCGGGGCTGATTCATTTTTAAACATTGTAAGGTAAGTGACTTAGAAATGGAAACCCAGTAGACGGGAGACGTTACCACAGCAGGAGCCGTTCAGCCCGTCTTCACCTCAGTCTTCACAGATCAAATAAAATTCACTGTTTTGCAGCCTTTCGTAAGAAGGCTTCTACCACGAAAATGTTTAAAAAAACAAACAAAGATCGATTATGAAAGCCTAGTGGTTGTTCCTCATTTCACGTGAACACTTTAAAGTGTGTAAAGCTGCATGACAAATACTTTTTAAAGTGTTCAATTTTACATCATCAAAGATCTAGTAAAAACACTTCAAAAGTGTGTTGTCAAAAAACTTCAAAGTGTGTTGTCAAAACACTTCAAAGTGTGTTGTCAAAACACTTAAAAGTGTGTTGAGCACTCGCATGATGTACACGCCTTTTGCGCACCTTTTTCGCTGAGGATTTTCCAGGGTTTACCCTGGCTTGCCCCTCGCTGTGGGGGTGGGGATGTAATGGCGTTTCCTCACGGCGTGGCAAACAAGAAATTTCCCTCCAGGTTCTTGAGGAGGCGCTTCTCCGGACGAAGGCAACAGGGGACGGGGACATCGTCGCCCCGCCTCCTGAAGGCGCCCACGCCCGAAATAAATCCTGCCGTGAAACTCGTCGATTTCTCATCCATTTGCGACGGTCGCCGCATTACGAGAAAAAAGAATTACACACCGCTGTACACTTTTCAGCTCCAAAACCAAAAATTTGCTTCGATATTACCTTTGTGGCTTCATGATATTACCGACCCTCACACTGAGAAAAAAAATTCCTGCCGGGCACTAGACGGTTTAGACGGTCTCCTACTTTGTTCCTGGCACAAAAAATTTAGTTCCTGTCACTAAAATTACTGTGCGTAGCAAGAAAATTTTAAAGCTCGGCAACAAAACTTTGTTGCCCAGGCACAACTGTATAGTGCGTCAAAAACTTTCGGTCTCGGGACAAAATGTTTAGTGCTCAGGACCAAAATATGTTCTCTGTGCATTTCCCCCCGCCTCGCCAGAAAACGACTGATCCAGAAAAATATTATTTTATTAAGTTTTTCCTTTTCTCTCTTTTTGTTTACAGAGTGGCAGCCGCCTCCACCAACAGCGACTCATGCGGTAAATTTTGCGGGCACCAAAGCTCCACAACGAACGCGGCAATCATCGTACGGACATTTTGCTCAAAGTTCAGACTGGCACATAAACATCCACACACACACTCACACTCACACTCACACAAAGGTGAGGAGGCGTGGGCTCGGCTGCAAGGCCACCGTGTGTGTCAGCCCCGCCCTGCTCGGCTCGGCCAAGCTGGCCGACACTGCACTGTACGGCAAGTCTCTGCACAACATGCGAGCCGTTTGGAGCGTTCTAACGCAGTACGCAAGGGGTGTTCGGGATGCCGATTCAAAGCAATACGACGGCTAATTGTCTACTTCGGGGAGCTGCCCGCCTGCAAGGTTGGCAACCCTGTGGTCACGAGCGGTTGTTGGATCGACTCGAACTCGCTCGAACTCCTTTTCTCACAGGATTGGATTGACTGGTAATCCGCCAACAGCTGATCACTTGGGGCACCGGTTTTCAAACTTTTCAGAAGCATTCGCAATTTGCAAACACGACCGCAAGAGTATTTATTTTCAGGCTAAAGAACTCCTTACTAGCTTTGTCTTGGGTTAGGGATCAACCAGCAGAAAGTACGTCAGTCATTCGCCGTTACGAACCTTCAAAGTTCAGCCAATGCAATTTCATGTCATGGAGCCTGATGGGTAGGCAAAATCTTGCCTGCAGTGCAAGCGTGTACTGCAGGATGGCCTACCCCGAGACTCGCAGGCGCTGAGCTCCTACGAGTTTGCAGAATGAATCTAATAAAAACAGGCGTGTACTCTTTGATCCCTTACATCGCGAACCTCTGTTCTTCGCAAGCCATTATTTGCAGCGCGCGCCGCGCCCACGCGCCCACAATCCTCGTCCTCATTTAGGACTACTCGTCTTATCTTCGCTTCGTCCTGCCGCGTGTTTATCGCCGCCCCGCCCACCTCGCCCCACTGCGCCCAGCCCCGCCCCGCCCCGCCCCGCCCCGCCACGGCGGCAGAAGCGGTCGGGAGTCGGTGAGGCGCCGCGGCTCGCCAATAGCCGCCGATCCGACTCGACGAGCCGTTTCGAAACGAGGGAAAAGCAGAAGGCCCTGGGAGGCGAGAGGGGGTCAGGAGAGGAGGGGTGCGGGTGGCGCTGGCGGTAAAAAGCGGCGTGCGCGGTCAAGTGTGACGGCACATGAGGAGGAGCGGCCCAAACGGGCGCCAGGTAACACCAGAGCCTCAGGGGTTACCACTGTCGCGCGAATGCCCCCCAATCTGAGGCTGGCCTTCCTCCTAAACCATAGCTCTCAGTCAGAGCGAGTTTAAGGGATGCACGCGCGATGGCCACGAGGCCCGCGGTCCCACACCACGCGACCCCGGGCCGCCGGGCGCGCACCGGGACTCTAGCGCCGCCGCGGAGCCGCCGTCGTAGGGCTGCATCACGCACCGCTCCTCCTGCAGGGCTCGGACGGGCAGGCCGCGGGGCGGGGCGGGACCGATTTAGACAACGCTTTCGTCTGACTCGGCAGCAATGCGGGCGTGACTGAAACAGACACACGGCAGTCGGCGCAGCCGCAGCGCTCAAGATCATCGGACTTGTAGGACACACAATAAACAATCGGGGACGCGCGGGGACGGGCGGGGCGGGGCGGAGTTGGGGCGCGGCGGGGTTGGGGCGGGCGCGAGCCGCTGCCAGCACACCGCGGGCCTGGGCAGGAAGCTGGAGGCGGGCGGTTGGCCGCTGTCAACGGCCCCCGGCCGGGGGCTCGCCGTGCTGGACCCGGGGCAGCGCGCCGCGGAGCTCAAAGTGGGGGACCCATACTCTTTCAAGCTAATTGCCGCTCCCCCGCCCACTCCTTGTACCCTAATCCAGAGGGGGCGGCTCGCGAGGACGGCGACCCCCTCTGCGTCAACTCTGTCTCTCTCTCTCCCCGGTTCTAAATTAGAAGCCACGTCGGCCTTGTGAGAAGTGCCGCGCCCCACGATGTGGATCGACGGGGACCCTCCGCGCGTCACCCTGGGCGCCCCTGATGAAGTCATTTGTAGTCGGGGCTGTCAACCCCGGGGCGCCCCGCCCCGCCCCGCCCCCGCGACACAATGGCCGCCACGCGCCCGGCCGCGGTTCCCTGGCGGTCCCCCGCCGGTCCCAGCTGACAGATAGTCCCCGCTTGACGGCTGCGCCTCAGCGGGGTCGCTGTCGCTGCGCTGCGCTG